GGAAGGGAAGGGACTTGTCTCCAGAGGAGCTTGTATGACACTTGCTTACATGGCTAGTGTACATTCTTGACATCATGAGCAGTGAGAGCTTGACATTCCCGCCAGAGGCCCGGGAGCCTGGTATGGATGTGGGGGTGACTATTATGCCATGGGAGCATAGAGAAGGGCCAAGGAAAGAAATGTAGCACTTGGTCAAAGTGACTCTTTGAAAACGGCCTCACTTGGGGCCGTTGTTAACTTGTGATTCCCAGTTAACTAGTCTATTTGTAAAGTCTCTATTTCCATACACTGTGGAGGCTTTTCTCATTTTCAGGCTCACTGACCATCTGTTTAATTGTCCTACTATTTTTTATTAGTTTGGGTTTAAACTGAATCTGGCTCTGATCTTTGTGTCTTTCCATCTAATGTTGATTCTTGATTTCCTATTTTTTTGAGTTGCATTGGTCGAGTATCATTTGGAAACTCTCTTCTTTTTAATGTACAAATGTAGTGCTATAAATTTTTTTAATTGGTTTAATTTGTCACTTTATCTCAATGGTAAAATGTCCCCTCTGTGTTAGTGACATCCTGTCACTGACAGATACTGTCAGACCTAACACCATGAGAGACAAAGAAATAAAACTTTTGGAATGAAAAAACAACACCCAATTCCCACCAACGAAAGTCTCAGAATGAGCCCTGATACCACCAGAAACCTATGGCAGAGACTTCTCAGGTGAGCTGATCTCACACTAATGTTTCCAACAATGTGCTTTTGTTTCTTTTCTTTGTCTCTACCATTTCTACCTATGTTAGTGGATTCACCCAGCCAGACACTCTCCACAGCAGACCTAAAGGCACAGGGGTTCTCATTTTTGTTTCCAGATGAGGTGATGGGGGGCTGATTTTGACTTCAAATGCAGTTTTGTCTTGCTCTTAAATACCACTTTTTTTCATTTTTAACTTGTGATTGCTTTAAATCTTGGGGTCAAGGTTTTGCCATGTTGGCCAGATTGTCCCAGAACTGTCTGAGTAGCCCAGGCTATGTAGACACCCAGCCTTAGTTAGCTCCTATTGGCTGACATTGCATGTTGTTACTCAAGCGTGTGCTAATGTTCTGTTGTGGTTGTTTATCTCATTTAAGTTATAACGAGTTTACTTCTTTTGCTGGTTTTACTTTCTTTTTGGTTTTTCAAGACAGGATTTCTCTATGAAACAGTCCCAGTTCTCCTGGAACTCAATATTATGTGTACCAACCAGGCTGGCCTTGAACTCAGACATCTGCCTGCCTCTGCCCCCCGGGTACTAGGATTAAAGATGTGTGCCAACATGCCCAGGAGTTGGTTTTACTCTTTGTTTGTTTGTTTGTTTATTGACTTATGGTTTTATTCAGGCAGGGATGCTCTGTAGCTTTGGAATCTCTCCTGGAACTGGCTCAGTAGACCAGGTTGGCCTTGAACTCACAGAGAGCCACCTGTCTCAGCCTCCCTAGTGCTGGCATTAAAGGATCTCACCACTGGCTTTACTTTCTAAAACAAGATGCTTTACCAGCATGGTGGTTCACATTTTCAATCCCAGTACTTGGAAGGCAGAAGCAAACTGAGTTTGAAGCTGTCTTGGTCTAGATAGTGAGTTCCAGGACAGCCAGGGAGGGATACAAAGAGAGCTCCTCTGTCAGACAACAGCAACAATAACAAAAATATGGACTATTGCCAAGGCTAGCATAGAAACTCCATCCATATCTAGCTGACCTCAAACAGTGACCCCTCTGTTCCTGCTTCTAAGGGCTGGTTGGGACAGGCACTGTGGCCTCTTTATCCAGTGCTGGGGATAAAATACACCATCCTGGTGCATGCTAGTCCAGAACTCCAAAAGATTGCCTGCATTGACAGCATCTAGCTTCAAGGTTTTCTTTCTTTTATTAATTTACAGTGAAAATGAGAGGATAGTAAAGGGAAATCAGAAATTCTAGAGAGTGAGAAGATTTTAAGGGGAGAAGAAACACGTTAAAATTATTTAATCTCAATCTGTTTGTGGCGACGGCCTAGTGGGACTAGGACTTATTCCAGGTGGATGAACTGGCTTTTAGGAGCCCATTATGTGTGTGTTGGGGGGGAATGTGTCTCACCCAACCTCGACCATTAAGGAAGATGCAACTCAGGGGAGATCTTCTTCTAAGAGTTTAATCAGGATCCTTGAAAAAGCTTCTTCTTCTGACCCCAGGGGAAGGCCTGCACAGGTTTAAATCCCCTTGCGCTGACCAACCCTAGTGGCCACATGGACCCTGCAGATAGGCTTCTCTTATACAGAAGCTAGCAAGCTGAACAGGCTTAGCCAAATAAGGACTTGTTTATGACAGAGAGCGCTCACCATTGGGAAGGTGGAAGGAGGAAGCCAGCACCATCTTTAAGGTGTGGCACTTCGCAGCTCTCTACAGCAGGGGTAGGAGGTTACCTTGCCTAGCCTGATTCAGGGGGAACAGGCTTGGTTCAGACTCAACTAGCTTTCCCAGACTTTGACTGCTCAAGGGAGGCCTTATCCCCTCTGTGGAGTGGATTGGGATTAGGATGGGTGGAGGAGGGGATTAGAAGAAGGGGAGAGAGAAGGAACCATAAGGATTTGGGGCAGATTGTATGGGACAGGTATTCTGACACTTGGGATTCACAGAATACTGCCCGGATAGGAAGGTATCCTGGAGCTCGGCAAGCCAAGGAATACCTCAGTCACAGTAAGCATAGCAGTTTACAGCCCTGCTTCAGGGAAAGGATTCCCCCGTGTATCAGCTCTGCTCTGGCAAGAGAGGGTTTCCCTGGTCTATCAGTTCTGCTCGGGTCCGACGGCTTCCCAGTGGACTCCCCCTGGAGACTGGAGAGCTAGCTGAGTGTAGCAACTCCATTCTGCCAGGGGAAGATTTCCCCAGCGAAAGTGTGGCAGCCCTGCTCCTCTCCACTCATTCAAGAGATTTATTGGGAGGGAAGAATCCAGGAGAGTGGCCTCTGCCAGGATGGAAGGAGGCTGCTGGACAGCCACAAGCTGTAGAGGAATTCTTAGGGGGCAGGGTTTTCCCAGGCAGATTTCCGGGATGGGAATTGGTCAGATTTCTCTATCCTGGACTTTAGGATAGCTAGATCTACTGTTCAGGGATTGGTTGGTTTTCTGCACAGGTTTAGGGTCAGATTTGGCTCTGGTTTCAGGGCTAAAGTATGTTTCTTTCACTGGTCCTTTTCAGCCTTTTGGCTCTAACTTTAGGACCAGGGTGTGTTTCTTTCACTGGCTCTGACTCAAGGGACAAAGTGTGTTTCTTTGGCATTGGTTTCAGGATCAGGGTGCATTTCTTTGGTTCTGGCTGCAGGAACAAAGTATGTTTCTTTGGCTGACCCCTTTTCCCTGCAGAAACTGGGATTGGAAATTAAAATGAAAAAAAAAAATTTAAAAAGTTACTCAGTTTTCCTTTGTTGCTGTTGACAGAAAAGCTATTGAATTGGATTAAGTTTGGTGTTTGTTTAATATGAAGTTTTGGGTAGCCTGGAACTTAATACTAAAATTACAGAAATCCTCCTGACTCTGCCTCCTGAACAGGAGTGTCTGTGTGGGTTGGTTTTTTTTTTTTTTTCTTTTGTGTGTGTGTGATCTGTGTTCAGGTCTTCTCCAGTACCACAGCTGGCCTGGAACTATTGTCTACTAGCTCTTCATACACCACACTCTGGTATGAGAAGCCAGAGGCACCATGTCTGATAGGATTTTTTTTCTTGTGATCTTTAAGAGATAGATACTTCCTGGAGATTGATTTGTGTTTATAAGAATTGACATTTCCTTGGATGTCTTTCTTGGAAGTTTCCAGGACCCAACAAGATGAGCATCCGGACCCCACCCACACTGGAGAAGCTGGCAAGGAAGGCGCTGCTGAGAGATGAGGCCTTGGCCATCTCTGCTCTGGAAGACCTGCCAAAGATGCTCTTCCTACCACTGTTCCAGGAGGCCTTCATTTGCAGACTCCCTAACATTGTGAGGGTAATGGTGGCAGCCTGGCCTTTACCCTACATCCCTGTGGGGACCTTGATGACCTCCGGCAACCTGGAGTTTTCTCAGGCTGTGGTGGCCTGCTGAGACAGCAGGATCACTCCATGTAAGTATGACCTATGTAGGGTCACATGGAGGAACCTGCTGTACAGGGTAGACAAATTCAGAGTTGAGATAATGGGGTCAGAGGGAAATCAGAGGCCTTGGTAGCATCAGCCTGGAAGACTGCAGAAGCCTTGCCTGCTGGTGAGCTCTGATGGGGAAGGACAGTTGCGTGTGGGGGAGGAATAGAGAAGATGTGGGCACAGGGGGAGGAGCCTGTCCCTGTCTCTCCCACAGGCACTAGTTGTACCAGGTCAAGAGTAACTGATTGCAGGGAAGCAAGGCAGAGGGCTAGTGATGCAGCTCAGAGAGAGCCATTGCCAGGGACCATGAGGTTGTTGGACACTCAGTGCTGGGAAAAAACAAACAAGCTTTGCAGAAATCCTCATGGGAGAAAGGCAGAGCTGACATGAGAGGTGTGTGGAAAGGACCTGAATGTCTGTGGGGTCTCCTCTCTCTGTGACCTTTCACCTGTCTAACTCACAGGAGGGGGAATCTTCGAATACTGGATTTTCGGAGGGTGCACCGTGACATCTGGACCATAGAGGCTGAGACAGAAGATGAGGACTGCTCAGCTGAGACTGTGAGTGAGAAGCAAGCAGTGAAGCCCCCTCCCAGATATGAGCAGAGGCAGCGTCTGAAGGTGATAACTGACCTCTACTCCAGGTTCACACAGGAGGAAGAAGAAACAGATTTCTTGCCTGGGGCTCAGCATAGAAAAGACTCCCTACAGCTGTGCTGTGGGAACATGAAGATTGTGTTATTGTCTGAAGAACATGTCTGAAGATCATGTCAGTATGTTCCGGAAAATTATCGGGCTGTGGAATATTGAGGTGTTAGAATTCACCATAGATTGGAGTTGGAGTTCTCTGTTACGATTTTATCCCTACTTCGCGCATATGAGAAATCTTCACACACTTTCTCTGGTCTGGACCAACAAGAACACATTTGAGCATGCCTATACATCAGACTACAAGTGGTTTGTTCGCACTTTCATATCTGAGCTCTCCGGTATCAGCAGCCTCCAGCATCTCTATATGGATGGGATCTGTTTTCTCAGTGACAACATGAAACACTTGCTCAGGTAAGGATGGATAGAGAGCTGTTTCTGTTACCAGAGCAAAACTTTGAATTTTATGTTAAAGAGTTATGGGCCTGGTATCTTCCAGTCCTTGGAGAATGAATTGTGAAGGAGCCATTAGGATATCTAAGCATGGTCTTGTTTCTGTGTAAGCTGAAGCCACGTGTTCCATGACCACACATGAAGCAGAGACCTCAATTGGGGTAGACAGTGTGTGCATAGTGCGTCACAAATGACTTGGATTGCTGAGATTTAGTGATAATACTGTACTTTCTCCCTTAGATCCTGGCTAAGCTAACAGGAAGGGAACAGAGAAAGGAGGGAACCCAAAGAGTGGAGGATCAGAAAGCCCGCATAGCTCCCAGGGGGTCTGTGCTCAATTTGTGTGAACAGCCACCAAGATTTCCCATGCAGGAATTGCTTGGAACAATAGGGGCTGAGAGGATGGGAAATGGCCCATAGGGGTTTGAGGGTCAATATGGGGTGGAGACTGGGAATCCCCACAGAGGAGGTGACAAGGGAGCAGAGGGCAGTGACAACTGCCTGAAGTACTGTCAGGTCGTCCATGGGTGGGTCCTTCCCTTATATGCACTAGGGTATAACAGCTGCACAGGAATTCTGTGTCAGTGAGGAGAAGGTGCTACAGAGCTGTGCACTGAGCCATCCCACAGTGGTCCAACTGACACTGGGACACATGTCCCCTTCTACTGTTGTGTAATCCCACCACACACCCTCTCCAGCATCATCTGTCAGAACTAACCCTTTGGTCTCTGCCTAGGAACCTGAAGAATCACCTGGAAACCTTCTCTGTCACTCACTGCAAGCTGTTTCGGTCAGACTTGTATCATTTGTCCCAGTGTTGGTGTCTCTGTCAACTAAAACATCTGGACATGAGTGGAGTCCTACTGTCCAATTTCTGTCTGATGCCTCTCAGGGTTCTCCTGCAGAAAGTGGCAGACTCCCTTGAGACTCTGGAATTGGAGGGGTGTGGGATAAAGGACTCTCAGCTCAGTGTCCTCCTCCCTGCCCTCAGCCAATTCCCCAAGCTCACAAAGGTCAATTTCTATAGCAATGACTTCTACATGAATGTCTTGAGTGACCTTCTCCACCACACAGCCAACTTGAGCAACATGGCCATGGAGCAGTACCCTGCCCCTCAGGAGTGCTATGAGCTGGGTCTGGTCTCCATAGAGAGATTTGAACAATTTTGCCCTGTGCTCATGGATACCCTCAAGGCCATAAGGCAGCCCAAGAGCATCTCTGCTACAGATGTCTGCAGTAGATGTTCTAAGCGCTGTGTGTATGAGCAGGAGACCAGGCTTTGTTCTTGCTTGCAGTAAATAGGGGAGTGCTACTTTTGGTCCTTCTTTTTCAGGGTGGTTACATAGAGGGCTTTGTGTAGGGGTCTTAAAGTGAGCAGTACAGACACACCTCTGAAGGAGGTTGGGATTGTAGGGGTTTTAATCTAGGATACTCAGTGTATTAGGGGACTCTGTGTGCAGATCAAAGATGACAGTAGGAAAAGGCAATGCCGAGAGAATGGGACGTGTTTCAACCCGAGCTATGCTCTTTGCTTTGTCACTTAAAAAATATTTGACTGTAACCTGCCAGCCTTGATCTCGTATAAAAGTTACTTTTCGTTGCTTTAGTTATGTTTATGTGATGAGGAGGTGCATGTCCCCTAGTGCAAGTACCAGAGGCATAGGATTCCTAAATTAGTTGCCTGATTTGTTTGCTGGAAGCCAAACTAGGCTGCTCTGGAAGAGAAGCAAGTGCTCTACAGTCCTGAGGCATCTCTGTCTCCAGCTCCTGGCCTTGAACTCTTAATCCTCTTGTTCTGCCTCCACCTCCTAATTGCTGAGATCAAGGCTATCACCACCACATCCAGCCTCCATTCTTCATGGATCCTACTATATAAGTATGGTCAGTACTATATAAGTCTCCTGTACTGTTCAAAATTCCTCTACTCTTTGAAGCCCTTCTTTTACCAGATATAACTATATTTCCACTATTCAATTGTAATTCCCCATCTTTATCTTTTATTCATCTAGCCCTTAATTTTTCTCATATTTGTGGATCTAATCTGATAGCTGGAAAGTAATTTTGGATGACACTCTTTTATTTCATTTTTGTGTTTATTAAAATATAGATCCTTTGCTTCAATACAACTAACTCTTTTTGGCTGATGTCCATACAAGAATTAATTGTAAGGTTTTTATCAAGTACACTCTGGAAAGAGAAAAAAAAAACATGAAAAAATGTGATTGCTGTGACAGTACCATTTGGGACATAATAGGGTCTATCATAATTCACTTAAAATCATACTCAAGCTGAGTATAATAAGTTGCACACTGATCAGAATACATTATCATGTGCAAATCATTTTATATTTTACCTACAGTCACTACTCACAGACCAACACAGGGTTCCTCTGGTTTTAGAGGCTGTCCTGGAACTAGCTCTTGTAGACTAGGCAGGTCTTGACCTCACAGGATCTGCCTACCTCTGCATCCTGTGGGTGACATCAATGCCCAGCAGATCAACACAGTCTTGGGAAGGAGAATACAATACTGAGGATTCCACCTTGTGGCATCCAGAAATAAGAAAGTCAAATAGCCATCTCTATATCTTGGCAAGACTTCCCATGGAGGGATCAGAACTCAAACCCAGCCACATAACTTTCTACATACAATTTGTCCTGCCTGTAAGATGTGCTGGAGTATAGGAGAGACACAGAGCTTGTGGGAGTGGCCAACCAATGGCTGGTCCAGCTAGAGACCCTGGTTGTAAGAGTGAGCCCACCCTTAATACTGCCTGCAGGGTCAGGACCAAGAGGCTGGACAGCCCAGAGAATTAGCTTCTACAGAGACTGGAGGACTCTGTAAGCAGGTGTTTCATGTCTGGCTCTCACATGGACTCTAAGTCTTCATATGTATCAGAGTTTATAATGTCTGAGTAACATGCAGAAGGGCTAGAGATGAATGAAGTTCTACATAGAGGGGATCACATCCTCCTGTCTCTCTGGTTCATCTCCTCTAGTTACAGTCTCTATATGGGGCCCACAGTCTTGTGCATTGTAGACAAATGTTCTACCAATGAACTCTCTCCTGAGCCAAGGGGGTGTGTCCTTAGCTGGACTTATGACCAAAGCAGGACAGCATAAAATATTTGGGATTTGATAGGGAAGGTTTGAACTATTCTTGTTCAGACACTTAGAAATTAAAGATGTCAAGCCAGTTGTGTGGGAATAGGCCCTTAATCCCAGCACTTGAGAGGCAAGGTCAGGAGGATCTCTGGGTGCTCAAGGCCATCCTGATCTACATCTTGAGTTCCAGGACAGTCAGAGCCATGTAAGGTCATGTCCTCACTTCAGAGGCTTAGGAAAAAGGATTGAGAGTGTGAAATCAGCCTGGACTATGCAGTGAAACTGTATCGGGAATACGATGACCTACCTTTCTTTCTTTCTTCCTTTCAATTTTTTTTTTTTGAAATAGGGTTTCTCTGTGCAGCATTGGTTATCCTGGAACTCACTCTGCAGGCCAGGCTGGCCTTGAACTAAGAGATCTGCCTGCCTCTGGGGTCCATGTTCTGGGATTAAAGGCCTGTGCCAACAGCTGAGCTATAATGGCTAATCTAGTTGCCCAGACCTCTCTGTATCTGGAATGAACTAAAACACATGGGAGGACTTTTTTTTTTTTTAAATAAAGTCATCAGGAGTGGGAAGAGGAGGAAAACCACAGGATAATATCTCTTTACATTGTCCATAATTTCCAAATGAAAATAAGATCTAGGACGTAATTATGCCTTACACGGTACAGCTATCTCATGTACAAAAGCATTATATATTTAACCAGGACATAATACCATTTAAACTGATATAATTTCCCTTGTATAGCCACAAATGCATTTCACTAAAAGACAGCCAAAAATGAATTATAAATAAAAGAACCATATGACCAGCCCAGTACCTATGGCAATGAAGAGAAGCCAGGGTGCTACCCGGTGGCAGAATCCAGAAAGGAAAAAAAACAAAAACAAAAAACAAACAAACAAAAACCCAGCAGACACCAGAGAGCAAAAGTAGCACTTACTAGAGAGTGCCACCTTGTGGCGGAATCCTACTCAGAGTCAGCTCAGCTTTTGGGGAAAGAAGACAAAACAAAAACACCAGTGACAAAATCAAGAATCTAAGCAACCACAACTCCCTCTGTCAAACTTGTCTGCCATGCATTTGATCATTCATACAGTTGGCCAGGCATTCATTCAAGCAAAATCCAAACCAGAATGCAGGGGGCCCTTGTGCAGGTAGACAGGAAGAGATTCTTGGGAGAAATTTTCTTCTCACACCAGGAGGAGGGATACCAAAAGGACCATATCTCCCTAACCTGGAGGAAGGCTAGAGCCCCTAACCTGAAGGGGACCCACCACTGCCTATTGATGTAATCTGAAGGCTGTCTTCCTCAGCCAGATTCACACCTGGATTCAGTGTACAGGCTCACATCTAAGTCTCATTAGGACTTTGTTTCCATGTTTAGGACCTCCCTGCACCAACGAGAGGATCAGGAGTCCTGGAACGTTTGTCTGGAGGAGCCCGCCCCCCCCCCACCACTACTTCCTGGCCTCTGGCCTGGCAGCAAGGCTGAGTCATGGCAATCGTGGAGACCTCAGTGGGACCTCCAATGCCATGATGCACTGGAGATAGTTACTGACAACCAGACTGATTAAACCCATGAAAACTTTGAGGTCCATTTTATTGACGGCCAGACCAAGAGTGGCTTGAGTATTTGAAGAGCCTCATGGTGCCCTAGTTCATAGACAAAGCATTTGTAAAGGCAAAACCACAAAGGTACACCAAAGAATTGATGGTCAGAGTAACCTTAAATACCCATTCCTGGCAGGGCTAAGTACTTATATTAGCCATAGCGTGTCGATTGTCTTGGTTAATGCATTGGGAGGATGGTCAAGACCATGGAAATATCTTATGTGTTGCCAAAGCAAGTGGTAGTGTTGTGTGGAATGGTATAGAGGGCCAAAACCCATTAAAAACAAACACAAACTGGAGTCAGAACAGGACAGCACTACCTTAGTCATTTCACTCTGACCAGAACCTGGGCCTTCTCTGTCATTTCACGGTGTCCAAAGGAGAGTCTTTACTATTTAGAACCTACTAGGCAGGGGTCCACCAATCACATAGACTGGGATGATTGTGGACACATCATTTGCACCATCGAAGACATTGGTCAGTACCAAAGGGGATAATTCTCACCTCCTCAGTAGCCTTCAGTGTATCATAATACTAGGGAGTTCTCCCACCAAAGGAATACATTAATTGTTATAGCCCCTTCCCTCTGAAGGACAGGGTTCAACTGCAGGATTAAATATCTCACCCTGGCAGTGTGGAGTAGCTGGACCACAAGACAGATTTGTAGGTTTGGTTGCCATGGGAATTGAATATGGTGAACTGGGATCAGCATCTCAGGACAGGTATGGATGACAATGAGTTGAATATGCCCTTAGTGACAGTTTTCCTAGACCAGGGTCTTCGGGGGTGGTCCAACATTGGCTGGCAGAATTGGGCGGCGTGCAGGACTTTAGTCTGCCAGTCTCACCCATCTCAAATCCTGGAGTTTTAGCTTACTGGTGCATGGGAACTCATGTAGATGGCTCCACTGTGTTCCTAGGGGTTAATTGAGTCACTGACAGGGTGGGGTTATTCAGGTACCTAACAAGAAAACAAGCTTAAAGTTCTTTGAATAGATGGTGTGTGTCAGAGTATGGCTGGAGATGAGGTTAAGAGTGTACAGTGTTGTCCAGCATCCTTGCAATCATGTCATGATAACTTTTCCTTGTTTATCCCCATGATCTCATGTCAGTTTTACATAATAGCATCACAATATGTAGCATCACAACTTTAAAAATTCCCCAGTCTTTACAATTCAAACGATTTCAAAGTTCCATTTAAAAATTTTTATTTTATTTTATTTATCTATTTATTTATTTGTTTGTTTTACAACTTTTGGCCCATCACTGAGAAGGTAAGATGAAATAGAGATTCCAGAATAAAAATGCTGAGGGACTCTGGCTCTAAATCAAGAGAAAGTTTCTTGATCATGGAGCTGGGTTGACAACCAATTGTCCTCTGTTGTCTCTATCTCCAGAGGGGTAAAATAAGTTGGCTGTATGTGTTATACCCTGTTTAATGGGGTACACAGATCTAATTAATATGTAGGTAAGCACACTATCAAGTGAGGTGTACCTAAACTTTAAAGTTGATATAGAATGGGTAACTGTCTATGCAAAATAGACACCCAATTCCTTGTGATTATGTATCCACAAGTGA